CTCCTATATATATCATCTTGATGAACAAAACAATATCGAATCACAATACATATCTTATACAAATACAAAATTAAAAGACAATTATTTCTAAAAAAATTTCTATTACTTTTAATTGTTAAATGAACAGGGATCATTTTCATTTTACAACCACATAACGAACACAGTAGAGGATCAAGAAGTCAATCAATGTTATATACACTATTTTTATTTAACTACAGTTAACTGAAATAGTGGATAAGATTTACAACTCAAGAATATGATCTTATTTCAATTGTGTCCTACAAGATAGGTGGTCTCATAGTGAAGATTTGATTACCTTTCTTTAAGACATCACTAATCCAGTGCTTCCAGGTTTTCCATGGTGGTCTAACTTCAACTGACTCATGAATTCAACTATTAAGATCATTATTTAGTCAATAAAATTATGCTTTGACTATCAAATTTAATTCTTATCTGTTATTTGAAGAAAACGCCAAAAACAAAAATTGATTAAAAGTTATGTATAACGAAAATCATCTTATTTCTCATAATCGAAATATGAACTAGATTTAGACCAACTGACATTTAGCAGAATCAAAATCAATGGTTTATATTTAGAAATATAAGCTAAGCGATTACATATATTAGTTTAACCAACTAGATTATCCCATATTTAATAGATAAGAAGAAAGAAGTTGGCTAACAACAGCTAAAATTAATGTATATTCTTTAATGTAAATGAGTCGAAAATGTTTCTAAACTGCATGTGAAAATGCGGATTACAATTGTTTACCTTATATACCCATTATGAAAACGCATACTGTTATAATAGATATAATATGAATAGTTCTTTAATTACTATGATGTATTGAATATATGTGGAAATGTTGATGTTACTGTGTTAATAATAAAAAACCTTTCTAAATGATAAGACTAAATTGTGCATAGCTTAATGTAATTTCATTCCTTTTCTTTGTATAAATTTATAACATGATAAAGAAAGTAAATTCATCATAGAAAAGTAGATAATAGTGTATTGAATGAGAATACAAGTGGGGACAATCGAATGTATTTGAATGCAAAATTACAGAATCTCTTAGTAAACTCTGAGAATCATACAGTAAATACTTCATTTGTAAAATGTTGATCATTTGTCTCAAACTTGACTATTCATTTAGCAGATGTTAATCAATCGTCTCAGACTTCATTGTTCTTTCGTTTTCATAACCGATCATTCTTTGTTCTCGTTTGCTTTTATTCGATCTTCCTGATGTTCTTCCTTCAGACATTTCACTTTCGATTGATGACACATACCACTTATATCTGTCGACATCAGTAGCACACACCACGATAATACTTAATTTTTAAATAAGATCTCCATTAGTTACTTTCATATGTCTTATCTCCTATTCGACAATAAAGAAATTAAAAAAGAAATGCGCTTTTAGTAGAAGTCTATTGTAACCCAACTCATATTTAGTTTCTGTATTACTCAAATAGAAACGAATCAAACTATATTCAAAGACTTAGCCTGTTGGATATAATATATACAAACCTATAAGGTTGATTAAGTTTGAAATGAGAGACAGATATAGGAATGATAGATTCTTATGATGCATTATATCTAATAATATATATAAGATCATCTTGGAAAGTTTGATTAAAACTTAAGTACTATGTTAAAACTTTCTCTATACAGAACAGAGAGCAATGGATCTAATAATTAATATGAATCAATTTTTGTATTCAACTCTGGACATATGACATATGACATGTCATGATATCAGTATAGCCTAGTTAAGTGATTACATCTATTTGATGAAGTCAATTTTGTTTAAGTTATGCCCAAAATGTAATCTATTCAGTTTTAATGATTGAAAAGTTTAATATGATATCAGAAAATTGAACAGAAATATATTTATTATACAGAATAAACAAACAGTAAAGTAAACAAGTTATCAAAAATCATCAATACAAAATAAATTGATATGTTGATAAGCTTCGAAAGCATCTTTCTTGACATTTGAATAACAGTTGAACAAGTTATAGAAATTTTTAAGTAAAAAATTACTATTTAAGCAAAGATGGATAGTGGCTAACAGTGTAATCCAAGACTTGCGTTACGTTCCATTTGACACTGGTCAACTGAATGTACCTGCATACACATATGCCAAAAAGAGACTGACCAATTGTAGTCCTAAATAATAATGGGAAGATAAAAGTAAACAACACCAAGTGAATTTAAACTTCCTCATATTGCACAAACAGGTAGCTATCAGGACTTAGTAGCTAAGTGGATAAAACGATAGTGTTTGGAGCGAACAGTACTCGATTCAAATCTCAGAGTGAACATCAACTCTGGGATGCAGGTACATCCAGTTGACGAGTCCCGAATAGGACGAAACGCTTGTCCATTACTAGGCACTATCCATCTTTGCTTAAAAAGATTATGACTTAAGGCTATATCGAGGCAATCCACACAGGATGAACATATGCAAGCATGAGACTGATCAATTGCAGTCCTAAATAACAATTGGAAGATACAAGTAAAACAACACCAAGTGAATTTAATAAATTACCATTTCGTATTCTTTTTTTTCCAGTAACTTAAATTTTGTTTTTCATTGGATTTTTCATCCAATCCCTTCACTAAGAACTCATTAAATCAAAGTTGAATTGAAGATAATTCACTTCAAAAGAAAATGCGGTCATAAGTCTATGTGCAGTGACCATTTCACATTTTGATTTTTTTTCGTCTTGTCTCAGTCTGTAATACATATACTGGAGTTTTGAATGAAGGAATGAACAATTTTTCTGTCAACTCGATTTGTTTTGGGATTGATATGATTGTTATAACTTATGACCTTGCGTCCTATTAATATATAACGTAACGATACCGCCAATTAGAGAACAGTAACTTATCGACCGGACCGATGACGTATAAACTCTCACGAGAAGTCTCTAGTCTTCATCGATTCTTCTCCCTTCCTAGCCCTACCTGTTAAGTCCAGAATACAAATCACAGCCTCTGCTATATGAATCATGTATTTCAAACATACTGGGATTATATACAAATCAAACAGACCACATTGCACCGTAAGATAGACAATAACATTTGTACAAGTTCTAGCCCAAAGTGACTGTGAATGTGGGAAACTGTACTAAATAAACTGGGTATAACTTAAGAATGGTAAATCATATAATAATAGTCTATAAGTCGAAATAAAGCTTATAATAAGAGGAATGTGAATATATATAGTTTGGTTACTAAACAATTACATAATAAAAAATATATGTATAGTACTAGTCCAAAAATAGATCCCGGTAGTTACCATTCATTATTGTCATCGGGATATAACAAAGATAAGATTGGAACTTGTGATATGATTGTAATAAAATTCCACTTAGAAATCTACAAACGGATAGTCTTTAATTTTAAGAATTGTACTGGTTTATTGTTCATGATTTTTCCTATTATTTATTATAAGTAATCAGTTTTACTTATATGGATAATTTACATATGAAAAGTTATTTTGTTCTTTGATGCTTCTCAATTCAGTTCTTTGTTAAGTTTCTAATTGTCAACATGACACAAAACTGAAGGCCCTGGGTTCGAATCCCGCGAACAAGATCGTGGATGCGCACTGCTGAGGAGTCCCACAATAGGACGAAACGGCCGTCCAATTCTTCCAGGTTTCCAGCGGTGGTCTAACATCAATCGGTTCATGATATCAATCAAACAACTTAATAATCTCCACAACTCCAATACCAGTACACGTTATTTTTGTTTGTAAGAGGGTGGAAGTCTCTGTTCCCTTCCAGATAGGTAGGAACATAGTTAAAAATAGATTTATTTCAAAAATCTTCTAGTTACAAATATGATTGGATTTATATATATTTTGATTTTATGTTTTACTTATCTATGTATATGATTTATACATTCAACTAATAAAGGCATTTATACTTATTTATCTGACTTGAATTTCGAATGGTTTATCAATTATGTAACAGAAATTATGACAGAATTAATAGATATATCGTTAATCTAGTAGATTAGATTAGACTGTAACCCTTTTCATACTTGAACATTGTTGCTTCTTTTCCATTTAGATTTTCATAATTCATAGTTGTAAAGGAAATGATATAACAAAACTAAATAAAATATACGGACTGCTGAGGAGTCCCACAATAGGACGAAACAGCCGTTCAGTGCTTCCAGGTTTTCCATAGTGATCTAGATTCAACTGACTCATGATCTCAACCATTGACAATATACATTGTTTACAGATGCTCTATATTTTTTGTTATTTTAGTACCAAACAAAGGTTTTGATATTTTGTCACAGGTTCATTATTGTCTAGAATATGAAAATAGATTATTGTTTGTTATCTAAATTTTTCATTCTAATTACCTAATTTAAATCTATGCAAATCACTTTACTAAGTGGAATGCAACATTATAATCGTTTGTTTTTTCTTCTTTTTCTTCAGAAAATACAATAAATAATCTTCTTGGAAGTTAACTACTGTCAACGAATTCTAGACAACTGTCTCTTAAATATCAAAATTCTTTTTAACTAGATTACGAAATTCCAACCTTACCCTTTTCTTAAATTTCACTGTTTCAATGATTTCGCTCTGATTTTTGTTGTTGCTGTCGTTGTTGTTGTTATTGTTGTTAGTAACATCATCAATTTCCCAGTTCAGTGAACTTATTAATAAAGACTTTTACAGACATGATCGATTACTTTTTATTGATTTGGTCGGAACTTTGTAAAACAAAACAATAACAAAAAAACAGGAATGGGATATTGGTCTAATGACCAAATGGATGACTGGACATATTTGTATTAGCACACAATAATAACACAATAAATGTGTATAATTCTATAGTGAATAAGGAAGAAATGTAAGTGAACCAATCAAAAGTTATTACTAAATGAAACAGGGCTGAAATAGGAAATCTCAACAAATAATATACACAGTTATAATAATATGATAAAGTAATTCCATGTTTATAATATTACAAAATTTATAAAATGGATAATAAAAACAATATTTGATTGTAATATATAGGAGAGAAGTTTTTGGAAGCACATCCTAATCATAATATAACAAAATAGAATTCAATTTAAACAAAGAATTCCCATATTTATTCTGTGTATACGAATTATACGAATTACTTTGATTCATTCATCAAAACTATAATCGTTTCGGTAAGTGTTGGATAATTATTTCGATAAAGTTACATTTGGGATTGATTTGTTAAAAAAGTAACTTAGTGAAGGTGTTCAATGTTTATAGTAAAACTAGCAAGCAAAATATTTCATTTTCTGTTGATGATTCATTAAACATTTACATTTGGTAATTCCTTGTTTGAAAAAATGTTACTATGGTTCTTACAGACAGTTATATATTTCTCTTTCATTCAATAATTGATATCATCTTGATTACTTGAACTGATACATCTGATGTAGGATTCAATAGTGTAATCTAATTTAAAGTATTTAGTCTATTATACATATTTCGATAGAGCAATGAGAAGATGGAGTTGATCTCAGGAAAAATGTGATGTATTTGCATCATACATTTTGAACAATATATCACATTTTCTTTTAGATCAACTTCATCTTCTCATTGCTTTATCGAAATTTGTAACTTATTTATTGAAAATTGAATTGTTATGGTTATATAGTCACTGTCATGCAAGATAATATCTAAACTGATGTTTAAATCACCATTAGTGTAGAATAAATTTCATACAATAATTTGATTATATAAGTTATTCATAACACGCAAACTGTAAAACAAAAGATTGATCAATTGTAGTCCTAAATAATAATAGGAAAGTACAAGTAAACAACACTAAGTGAATTTAAAATTCTCCACATTGCACGAACAGATGGCTATCAGGATTTAGTAGCTAAGTGGATAACACGATAGTGTTTGAAGTGAACAGTACTCGATTCAAATCTCGGAGTGAACATCAACTCTGGGATGCAGGTACATCCAATTGGCGAGTCCCGAATAGGACGAAACGCGTGTCCATTACTAGCCACTATCCGTGTTTGCTTATAGGATAACAATGTTTAAGAGCTGTTCAACTGAAAAGAGGATTTGGAAATTTATACGGAACTCATGTAACTCATTTGGTATATTACGATGAAATGACAATGAAATCTTAAATTTAAGTTAAAAATTTAATACATTAACTGTTTATGAGTATTTGTTTATTTTGTTCAATGGGTAATTCAAGATTTTACTAATCAAGGTGTAACCTATATTTATGATAATTGATGGTTTCTATGGGTGTCTTGTAACCATATTTATAACATATTTATTTATGACAATTGTCAAATATTTAACCCATAAGTCAATTCTTTCTAGAGGGGAGGAAATCTATAGATCTCTAATTTTAAGTTACTTCCTTTCCAATAAAGCCAGTACTTCCACGAGAAAATTCTATTTCGATTAGAATGGCTAACCTAATGAGGAATGTCTCAAAGAATGATACCGATAGATGATTACGAAAGCATATGTTGTTAATAATGCTTTAAATGTCTAGACAGATAGCATATTATGCATAGGATTATAACTATGTATATAAATGTTTCGACTGATAACATGGTTCAGCATTGATCACGGTGATACAATTGTAGTGTCACCTTTTTGTTTTCTCCTCAATCTTGTTCAATCTTACATTATAATTTTGAATCCAACTAGTTAACTTCAGTTGCCTAGCAGAAAATGTTAAATAACAGCTTTTCTTGTAAGATGCTATAAAGGACATTTGTAAATATGAATAATCTAGGCACTTACTTCCCTGTAAACAAATGCATTCATGAATATTTTGTTTAGAAATGTATTGTGAAATACAAACTATCTAACCAAATTCCTGACACTTACAATCTTGAACAACGAAACAAAGAACCAAGTTATGAGAAATGCTTCAAGTTTATTTCATGTAAGATAAAACTAGTTATTTTCTAAGGCTGTTAACAACATCGAAAAATGAATATGTTTCTAAGATGAAGAAGAAAAAATATACACATAACTTGGTAACTAAAATATCGTTTAATCAATATGGTTAGGGTAGGTAGAAATATTTAGTTTCTAGATTCTTCTTTGAATGAGTCATTTATGAAAATACCATTTGGTTACATTGAATTTTATGTACATGTTTATACTTTGTAAAGAATTTGTGTAATGAATATTGATTTCATCAAATTGTAATTTATCTTTCCACATTTGGAGTTTATACACAGAAAGAGAAGATTTTGAATAAATGATAAGAATTATAGATGTACATTGAAATAGTAGACGAATGTGCAACATTATTTTCAGTGATTTATTAGATTCCACTAAGTTTGATAGTAAAAAAATAAATGATCTAGAGATTAAATGAATCATTGAGGAGGAAAACAACATTTAAATTAATGTATAATAAGCGTGTTGTGATCGGTATTCAATATCATCTTTAAACGTCGTATTCATGTTCATCCTGATAACCGTCATTAGATAAATGCCCCAACGGTGTATTAATCAGAAGGCTGCGTGTTCGAATCACATTGGGCTTGCCAATACTGTTGTGGTTGGTATTGAATATCATCTTTAAACGTCGTATTCAGTTCATCCTGATAACCGTCACTAGATAATGCCCTAACGGTGTATAAATCAGAAGTCGAATACAAAGTGTTGATCAAGTTTATTATTGAATCATGCACAGATCATCAAAATTACAGGTACGCTAAGCAAGCATGAAAGAGTAGGGCCGAAAAGCAAACGGGCAAGCGAGTGAATGTGCGAGTCGAATCAGCAAGTCAATGAACAGGATTAAAATGTACATACATATACATAATGAATCACCGAATCAATTAAGCGACTAATATTAAGGCTATCAGAATGAATATATGCGTAGGCAGTAAGCAATGCTCAAGCATACATATTCATACAAGTGCAACAATAATAAAGGTACAATGGTATAGAAAAGTTGTTATTGTACGAATGACTCTATCCGTTAATTAATTTAACAAAAGAGCTTAACCAAATTAAATGTGAACAAACTCAATTGCACGTGAACTGTTATAAGCGTCAAAACTACAAGGGTTTTTCAACAAAGTAAACATTTCTTTTATTAATAAAAGAGTATCCAAGGTCTATTCAGTAATCAGAGAAGGGGTTTTGTGGAGATTGTAGTAATTTAATAATTGAATTCATGAGTCCATTGAAGCTAGACCACCATGGAAAGTCTGCAAACACTGAACAGCCGTTTCAGCTTAGTATAGGACTCCTTAACAGTGCGCATCCACGATCCCACCTCGCGAGATCCGAACATACGATCTATCAGTCTCGCGTGCGAACGCTTAATCTTTAAACCACTGAGCTGGTGTCCAACAGTGTTAATGTCAAACTACAACCAATTCAATAACTTAATAAAACTTTCTTGATATATATATGGTCAATAGTTTACACAGATTCACAAAATGCATTTTGAAAGATAAAATTATATAAAGAACAACTGTTCAAGTGCACTTTAACATACATTTTTACTTTACAAATTTATCTAAATGTCTGGTTTTTTTATAAATAAGGTGAAAAAAATCTATGTACATCAATCACTACGTATATGCTAACATGTTCATAACATATTACTATATGCTATTGTACTATTAATGTTAAAATTTGATTGATAAGATTTCATCTTATGAAAAAGTGAACATGATTATGATCGATAACCAATTTATGATCCGATTTTAATAATATTATTAATCGATCATTTTCATATTCTGTGATGAATAGTCTGTATAAACATTTTGCTTGTACGGATATCGTTAATCCGAAGGATAACATGGGTATATTAATGGTTAAGAATTTCTTACACGCTATACCATTAAAAAAATTTCTTATTGATAACAATTCTGTTGACTTGTAAACAGAACTTAAAAGTCAAACGACAACTGTTTTGAAGTTATCAAAACAGAATTCTGTTATGTTGTTTGTATATTTTTGTAACACTATTCTTGGCACCAAAAATCAATCGAGGATGGTGAAATGTACCTTTGATCTCAGTGCTATCAATAGACAATGGCGTATTAATTGTTCTCTGAATAAGTTTTCAAGCTAGTATATTTCAATTTAGTCATAAAGATAACCAAGTTTGAACAGTCAGTCAATCAGTCAACAACGTAGAACTCCTTACATACGTACATAAGTTCAAGTTGCCATACCACATTAGCACAGAAATGCAGTTGTCGATTCAAATCCCACTGTGGTAGAGGTGTTAAGAGTATAAGATGTAATCGGAAACATTAGGGTTTGAAGATGTCATTCAAGGAGTATAATCCAGTGACATAAATTTGGAAAAAGAAAAAAAGTGACAGGGAGGATTCAGAAGATTAGGATTTGGAAGAACACAAAGAGTGGATGCACCTGCTCCACTGCAAACGATTTTCAGCCATGTCATCCAGGGTCTCTAACCACCGGTTGCTATCATCTCTCGATCCCCAACCAGGTAGTCTATACCTAAAAACATGGCTCAGTCCACTTGTCAGTGACTTCATGAACTTGTGCCATGTTTTGGTCTGGCTTTCTTCCATCCTACCCCTACACCATAAAACATCGCACGTCGGGGCAGTCGGTGGTTGGGCATACGTAACACATGTCTCAGCTTCTATAAGTGCATGGTAAAGCTCTTAACTTTATATGGTAAACTAGTCTTTTCACATTCATAGTTTGACTTTGTTTATTATTGTAACTAAATATCTATTTTCTAGTAGGACATTTTCCCCTTAATATTTTCATAGTGTTCAAAATATAATCCATCAAAATCCGATAACGATTATCTGCCTATAGAGATAGTGTGCATATGTCTTCATTTTGATACCTTGGTTTCCCTTTTAATTTCAATGCTCAGAAAAATCAATCACACATGAAAAGCGTTTAGTTAGATATTGAAAAACAATGTTGTGTTGATGGAATTGAGCATAAGTAGACAAGATAATTTACGTACGCTCGTTCTGATATGTTCACTGAAAATCATCCATTTACAAATTTCATTTCAAGTATTTCAACTTAAATTTGCTTGTCTTCAAGCAAACCTTAAGGGATGTAAAATGATAACATTAATAAAAGCTTATCAAAGGATTATCTGCATCTCAAAGATTTCACAATGAATTAATGTTCAATTTATTTAATTATTTATATTTCAAGTGACTAA